TATATATATATAAAGGTGTTTTAAACCCTTCCCACACTCTTGCAATATTCTAAACAATGTTTCTAAGCTCTAAACGCTCTGAAAGAGCACAGCATGTCATGATTTCAGCTCTCTGCCTCAGTTGCTCTGTGCCATCTGTAAGCCCTTTCAGCCAAACCCACTTCTCCGCTCTGCATGGAGAACAGCTGATCAGCTGCAGGAGGAAGTTTATCCTGTGATGTGGGCTGCACAAATGTGCAGCAGGTGCTAAATAATTTAAAATAATCCATTTTAAATAAAAATTCCATGATTATCGTGCAGCTCATTAATCAATCAGCCAACTGTGTGTCATGTCCAATCTTATTTTGAAAAAACGTGACAGAGCAAATCCATGAAAAACAAACTTCATAGTAGTGAGGGTCTACTACACCTGGAGAAAACCCACGCAGCACGGAAAGAACATGCAAACTCCACCCAGAAAGGCCCCCGGCCGAGATTTTGACGTTCTCGATGAGAGGCAGCAGCTCTACCAACTGATCCACCGTGCTGCTCTGTTACATCCCATCATGAGCAAACACTGAAGAAACAATAAACCTCACTTTGGAGTCTTTTCAAGATTAGAGATAAGTTTAGTAGTGTAATGTGACGCATATTGAGAAAAATTATATGTTAAAGTTTCTGAAAATAGCATACATACATCATTTATTAGTTAAGAAGAGGAGAGAAAATGTTCTTAAAAGTACTTGCAAATAGAAAATGAGAAGATAATAGTTGTTTCAGAAGGTCACATCCTCTCAACATGGGCATGAACTGTATGTCATGTTACATTTGGTCTGAGGATGAATTTGATTTGTTTTTTTTTTTATCTACAAAAAATACACAACATTCACGTTCATTTTTTTTAAATCAAGATTTTAAACATTCTTGGTGATTTTTTTTTTTTTTCATTTCAAAATTATGTTAAAATATATACAAACACGGACAGCACGGTGGAACAGTTTTTAGAGCTGCACCTCTCAGCGAGCAGGTCACCCCGGTTCAAATCCCGGGCTTAGGCCCTCTCTGGGTGGTTTGCATGTTCTCTCCGTGTCTCTTTCTATTCTATTGTATTCCATTCAAACACTGGGAAAAAAATACAAAACATAAAAAAGATATCAAGGAAAAAAGAGTGAATATTTAGGAGAAAAAAACATTTAAAAGCAGAAACTAGAAGGGGAAAAACAAAAGAGAGGAAAAATGAAGGGAGTGATAAAATATTGGGAGCTAGGTAAATAAATGAAATTAGACCAAAACCATGTAAAAGGAAGAAATAAAGTTAAATGGATTGTAAAAATATATATTAAATATTCTTGTTAAGAATGGAGAAAAGACAAGTGCAAAATGTAAATACCTGGAAAAAAGTAAAGGAGGAAATTTAAGAAAGAAAAGAAAAAAGGGGGATAAAGTAAAATGATGTGATGAACGAGAGCAATTGAATGTGATGTGAAACTGGAGATTAGAGTGGACTGATACAAAAAAGATGAAGCAGAGACGTGGAGGTTTGAAGTCGGCTGTTGCCACGGCAGCCTGAGCTTGTTTCTCTACTCGAGGATACAGAATGTGATTTAATTCATTGGCTCTCTTCCGTGGAATGCAGATGAAATCACAGCCCAAAGGTTAAATACATTGTTATTAATTCCTCGCTTCTTCCAGTTCAATCTCCCCATCGTCTGCCGAGATCGTAAAACACACGACCTACACGCTTTCCACTCTGCTCCATCAGAAACACAACGACTCTCCGGTTATCTAACCTGTTCCTCACAGGCCCGACTCACCCGTTAGCATTTTGACTTCTAATTGTTTTGTTTTGTTACTTTCTCTTATTTTCATTCACTCAAAAAGTAAAATGACTTACAGGTTCCCAACATACTGTAGTTCATCAGCTGTCACAATTAGTTTG